AGTAATGAAGGGTGTTCGTCACGGTAATCTATGTACTCTCTCGGGTACGACGATGACAGGAGATGCGGCGGTTGGAACTGATGGAAGTGGTGGAGACCCATGTGAGCACACACGGTTATGGCATAGGCGGCTTGGGCACATGTCAGAGAAGGGTCTAGTTCTGCTTGGTAAGGAGGGTTTGCTGAAGAATCTGAAGAAACCTTGCATGGATTTTTGTGAGGATTGTGTGTATGGAAAGGCGCACAGGGTCCAATTCTTGAAAAGCAATCACAAGAGCAGAGGTATACTAGATTATGTACACACGGATGTTTGGGGTCCGGCTCAGACAACTTCCAAGGGTGGTTCCAGGTATTTTGTCTCGTTCATAGATGATCATTCGAGATATGCTTGGATTTATTTTCTTAAGCATAAGAATGAGGTATTCGAGACATTCAAGAAGTGGAAAGCAATGGTTGAGAACAGGACGGGCAAGAAATTGAAGACACTAAGATCTGACAACGGTACAGAGTATACAGATGGTGCTTTCAAGAAGTTCTGTGATCAGGAGGGCATTGTTCGACACTGGACAGTCAGGTCAACACCACAGCAGAACGGGGTCGCGGAGAGACTGAACCGAACATTGCGGGAGAAGGCAATGAGTATGCGATCTTATGCTGGATTGGGCAACGAATGGTGGGCAGAAGCGGTGGCTACAGCATGTTACATTGTGAACCGTTCTCCACATTCGACATTGGATGGTGATACACCCTATAGGGTGTGGTCAGGGGAACATGCAGATTATGAGAGGCTCAGAATTTTCGGATGTACCGCCTATTATCACGTCAACGAGGGAAAGCTTGACGCGAGGGCTAAGAAGGCGATATTCTTAGGGTATGCGAAGGGCGTAAAAGGCTACCGCCTTTGGTGTACAGAAGATTCAAAGTTCGTGATCAGCAGGGATGTTACCTTTGATAGGAGAATACACAGGCACTGCAACAACAGCAGCTCGAGGATACTTTGGCTTCCACTATTCCACTAGGCCAAAGCGAGCATACAAGCAGGTACAGAAGCTGGGGGCTGATCAACCCCTGAAGCACTATGGGCAGGTTAATTTGGTTGAATACGCACTCTCAGTTGAGGAAGATGAGCCGGTCTCCTTCAAGGAAGCTATTCGGGATAAAGATAGTGAGAGTTGGTTGGCTGCGATGGAGGAGGAGATGGAATCTCTTCGGAAGAATCAAACATGGGAGGTGGTCCCATTGCCTGTAGGAAGAAAAGCTATTGGTTGTAAGTGGGTGTATAAGAGAAAGGAAGATCCTTCAGAGCTCGGTGGTACAAGATACAAGGCGAGGCTAGTGGCTAAAGGGTTTGTACAAAGAGAGGGTGTGGATTACAATGAGATATTTTCTCCGGTGGTGAAACACATTTCTATTCGGGTGCTATTGAGTATTGTTGCTCATGGTGATCTTGAGCTGGAACAACTCGATGTTAAAACGGCCTTCTTGCATGGAGACTTGGATGAAGAGATCTACATGCAACAACCCGAGGGCTACAATGGACTGAAGCAATCTCCTCGGCAGTGGTACAAGCGATTTGACTCCTTCATGCTGAAGCATGGGTTTTCCCGAAGCGATTACGATTGCTGTGTTTACATTCGGAAGCTTCGTGGAGGTGATTATATTTATCTCCTTTTGTATGTGGATGACATGCTTATTGCTTCTAAGAGCGGGGTGGAGATAGATAGGTTAAAATCTCAACTTGGTAAAGAGTTCGAGATGAAGGACATGGACGCTGCAAAGAAAATACTGGGTATGGAGATCAGAAGAGAGCAGGCGAATCAGCGATTGTTCTTGAGTCAGAAGGGCTATATAGAGCGGGTGATCGCGAGGTTCGGGATGCAAAGTGCTAAGTCGGTGGCGACTCCATTGGCTCCACACTTCAGGCTTTCAGGTAAACAATCTCCTACTACAGCGGAAGATAAGGCACACATGGAGCGTGTTCCTTATGCTAGTGCAGTTGGCAGTTTAATGTACGCCATGGTGTGTACACGTCCTGATATTTCACAGGCGGTTAGTGTGGTCAGCAGATTCATGGCGAATCCGGAAAAGGCGCATTGGGAAGCGGTGAAATGGGTCCTGAGGTACTTGAAAGGTACTGCGGATACGGGTCTGTGTTTTGGTGGAGATACATGTCAGATCGACGGGTATGTGGATTCTGATTATGCGGGCGATCTAGATAGACGACGATCTACTACTGGTTATGTATTCAGGATACATGGAGCTCCAGTTAGTTGGCGATCGATGTTGCAGGCTACAGTGGCACTCTCTACAACAGAGGCCGAGTACATGGCTATGGCGGAGGGAGTGAAGGAAACATTGTGGCTGTGGGGTCTTCTAAACGATTTGGGGATCGAGCAGGAAAGCGTGAACTTATGGTGCGACAGTCAAAGTGCGATTCATTTGGCAAAGAATCAAGTTCATCATGCTCGTACCAAGCATATCGACGTCAGATATCATTTTGTGCGGGATGTCATAGAGGAAGGAGATATTTCTCTCATGAAGGTGCATACAAATGAGAATCCCGCGGACATGTTAACCAAGGTGGTCACAGGTAGCAAGTTTAAGCATTGCTTGGACTTGCTTCATATCAGCCCGTGTTGATTTGCCCGAGAGGGCATGGCCCTTCGGGGCGGTGATGGGGTGAGGTGGAGACTATATGGAGAACAATTATAGAACTACGGTTAGTTTGATCCCGGTGGAGGGTACGTAGGCAGTCGCGGTAAAGTGGTGCAGCTGGTTTGGCCTGGTTTGGCCGATTTTAGATCTCTGGTGATGTTCGCGGTGTTCTTCTGGTGTTCGTCCAAAATTTGAGGTTTATCAAATGATGTACGAGGTGGAGAATTGTGAGTGCCCCACCCACGTGCCGTTTCCTCTTTTCCCGTGTGAGGAGATAGCGATCAGCGGCCATAATATCCATTCACGCGTTTTGAAAGTCACCCGAAAGGCCCACCTCTCCCTTATATATATGAGTGTGTTTCTAGGGTTTCGTGCTAAGGGGAAAACGCTGTGGGGAAAATTTTTCGGCTGCTGTGGGAAAAAGACAGCGGCAAAGATTTTCTTTCTCGGCTGCAGGGTAAAAACAGAGGCTGTTTTCTTGAGGAGTTTCAGGAGGCTAGAAGAGAAATCTTGAGAGGAGAGAAAAAAAAAGAGGGATTTACAAAAGAGAGGTTAATTTCTTTTGGGTAAAAATCAGATCTATTTTTTCTTTGAGACGAGCTTGTGGATTGTACAAGTCGTCGGTGTTCTTCTCATAGTGGAATCTCCCCTCATCCCCTCCCGTGGACGTAGACAAGTTTGCCGAACCACGTAAATCTCGTGTATTTACTATTTTCTGGGTGTTGACTATTGCTTGTAGGTTCCCTCAATATTCGGTCTTAGAGCTGATGAGAGGAAGAGTGTATATTTCACTTTGATGAAATATATCACTTTCGATTCTTGTTTCCTTTGAGAAATAAGAATTTTACTATCTATTCTCGTTTCCTTTGAGAAACAAGAATATAGAGGTTGACTTGTGCTTTTGTGACAACAAAAGCCAGGGCTTTCTCTCAGGTGATATCGCTTCCGCGGCGGTGGGCGTGACTCTGCGCCCAACATGATCTACTACACATGAATTACTTATGGACAAAACTTTCAAAGGATTTTGATGTGTTTTCTATCATGTATCAAGTGGCGAAAAATTAAGCAACTTTATGAAAATACCAAAATGTTGATTTTGACGACATTGATGCATGGGTTAATGATGTTGAAATCCTTTGAAATTTTATTTCTAGATAGTGCATGTATAGTAGATCACATCTACCGGTTTGGATTTTCATTTTTGGACTCCTAATTCTAAAACAGGTTGATAAGATCTGTAGATACTATTGATAATAGCCCAGTTCAACTCTTTTGGAGTTGAGACATGTGTTTAATATATACATTTATACTTGCGTTTCCTTGTCATGTAAAGCAACTGCTTATTCTGTTAAATAGAAAAGAAACTATTGGGCATTAAGGGGCAAATAAGTAATTTTTTTCATGTCAAAATGTATAGGCAGACCAATTTTAACCTAAGAAAAGTGTCATATTATACGATTTTGATTAGTAGTAGTAATTTATTCTAAGGTTAATTGCTAATAGCCCCCCTAGTATCACCCACTTTTGTGCGATTAGAGCGCCCTTGTAGTACTGCCCTATGTGCGAACATGCCCCCTTAGCGAGCGAACCTTTTTGACTTTTTCGAAAGTTCAGGAAAAAAAAAAGAACAAGAAGAAGAAGCAATTGGGATCTATCCTCACCAATAAAATTATAGAGGATCTATTCTCCTCAAAACCTTTTTGATGATCTTACGAGTAAAAAGCTTTTCACTCAGGGAGTCTATTGGTTAAATAGAACTACAAGGTCTATTTGCAATTAACCCTTTATTTTATCTCAAATACTACATTCTTGATCTGGATTTTTGTTGCAGAGCACCGCTTAAGGTACAACTCGGATATGTGCTTTGCCCAATCAATTTAATGCATTCCTCTGGGATACATTAATATCATTTTTCAGCATTATGTCATTTGACATTGATAGAGAAGTTCCTCCAGCATGTCATTTGCAGCTTTGTTGTTCTTGCTATTGAAGATGATTTAAATTAATGCTACAGGTTGCTATATTTTTCATATATAACTGTTGATAATTCTATCTCAATACAGTTGCTTTCAGAATTGTTGTCTCATATGTATTTATTGCAATTTCAAATTGTTCTTTGCATGATGTATATATTTTTTTTAATTTTAAAATTTTAATTTTTGTGGTCAGCATTTTTATGTTGTATTTGTAGCATGTTTATTGTCTTTTATAGTTCTATTCCCTGTGCATTTTTTAAATTTTGTAATAGTTACCAATAGATGTTTCTTGAAATTTTGGTTCTTTCCTGGTGAAGAATATCTCACCTGTCAGCAATTTGACGATATGTTTACTTTTTGATTATTGTAGGCCCACATAAGATCCAAGGAATAGGAGCTGGTTTTATTCCTGGAGTTTTGGATGTTAATCTAATTGATGAAGTAGTTCAGGTGAGCATAGACATTGGTAGCATAACTAATCTATGATGTTGGGATGACCTGAACAAATTTTGATGTTATGGATGCAACATATGGTGAATGATTAAATTAACTCACATTTGCAAGACCTTTAAAATGCGAACTTCTGGGTTAACCTGCCTGTAAAATGCAAAATATTTTATTAATGTTGACTAGAAGCACCTCAACCAATGCATTTAAATTTACCTTTGTGACTTTCTGGATCAATTGATGACCAGTGCATAGTTGCATGCATCTGTGAGTTATGTAGTTCTAGACATGTGCAAGATGAGTGTTATCTCAATACAATACATTTATATTTTATTATCTTTCTATCCATTGAGAAAAGGTGTTTTAAGCTTCTTATCAGAGGGAACAAGTCCTGATGAAAATATCAGGATTCTAGCGTTTCCACTGATCTAACACCACACCGTATCCTATCCATGAGTTTTGCACAAAACATTAATTTGTCAACTGTTCACCACATAAGTGCTGCATATAATGGGTAATGTAAATATATAAGCGATTAATGTATGATTATGAAACTGGAGTTGGTGCATACATGATTCACCCTTATTCGCATATCTTACATATGAATATTTCAAGGGGTAAATACAAGTTTAAAACCAGTGTTTTTAGATTTGCGGTGTGATTTGTTTTGTGGAATGGTGGTAATAATTGTGAATAGTAGGCAGGAAGGAGGAGAGGGTAAGCTTAACTGAATCGGTAATTGGGATCCTGCATTTAATAATTTTGTGCATGTTGGGAGAAAGATACATTCACAAGCGTTTAAGGAGATAAAATTAAGGAGTAAAATAATATAATCTTCCATCTTTCAGAAAAAAGAAAGAAAGAAAGAAAGAAAGAAAGAAAGAAAGAAAGAAAACTGACCAATTTAATTTAAGAACATAATCATGATTTGAGTGCATTAAGCGATCAAAGTATGAAAATAACTTTAAAGCCAGTCTAAATCTCGGATCCTGCAATTGAGTCTATCAAGAGAAGGCTAATACTACGACTAAATACAGCTAAAGAAATCATTTAAGTCAATAATTCTTTTCTTTTACTTTCTGGATAACAAGATTTGGTGATTCAGATAACGAATGTTACCTAAACAGATTAGGTAATATTTTCATCAGGAATTCACTTAATTGCCATTTTATCTGCCATGTTTCACAAAGCAACTTGCTGTTTGTTTCATGGTATGTTTTGTCAGGTTTCAAGTGATGACGCTATTGAAATGGCAAAGCTTCTTGCCCTGAAAGAAGGGTTGTTGGTGAGTCCTTTTTCAGAAATACCCATTATTTAGAAATCTACCTTCTATTTCTGACCTTGCAGTTTATGCCCAAATTTTTGTGTAGCAATGATTTAGATAATTCATCCTGTCTGCTCCTTCTTATCTTCGGTGTTTATTGCAGGTTGGAATATCATCTGGAGCTGCTGCTGTTGCTGCCGTTAGAATTGCACAGCGTCCAGAGAATGAAGGGAAACTGATTGTGGTAAATTACCAGCTAATTTCTGCCTATATGTTGTTTCGTCGTGAAACTTCAGAGTAAAAGTTCACCATCTAAAACAGGCTTATTTCACTTATGCTTCCCTAAAGTTTACCCTTTTTAACTTTGATACCCCAAATCTTTTTTGACACTTCGATTCCCCTAAGCTTTTTTTTTTGACAATTTGATACCCCCAATGTTTCAATACCATTTCACTCTGATACCCCTTCTTACTTTCTGTAGCATTTTTCTATGAAAACTGTATCATATGCGTAATACGTGATACATTTAGGTCAATTATATCTCTCTCATGAAAAATAATTCCCCCTACATATTTATCAGTATTTTTTAAACAGAAAATGCAGCGAAATCTGGACATGAAATGGGATTGAACCTTGGGTATCAATGTGTCAGAAAAAACTTTGGGGTATCAAAATAAAAAAGGGTAAACTTTGGATTACCAAAGTCGAAGTAAGCCATTAAGAAAAGGGCTACTTGCACACAGGCCTCCTGCAATATCAGTATTTTCGACTTAATACCCGACACCTGTATTTTCATTTTGGTAGATGGACAATTTTTTTTGACTTTATTACCCTGGGTGGAAATTTGGGAGATATTAACCCTGGGTGGAATTACTGAGTAAAATATCTGCCAAAATTCCGCCCAAGGGTCTATCTTTTAAACTGCAACTACATAGGTAGCAAGTTCGAAACGAGGATACTATGGGGGTGCAGGATTAACGCCTAATCTTCTCTCCTACATATGCTTGAGAAAGCAACACTTCTATTTAGGAAGTTTTTAACTTTGACAAGGACAGTATTTGTATTAAAAATCCACTCCCATCTCCAGAATGCTGTGAGTGGGTTTCTTCAATGTGTAAAGTAAATTTTATGTCTAATCGTTTAAATAGATTTAGCAATGAACTGTTTATGTATTTACATTCAACTGTGTAGAATATTTAGATAATATTTTTCATTCCTTGCTCTGGTTGCAGGTTGTTTTCCCCAGTTTTGGAGAGCGATATCTTTCCTCAGTGCTATTCCAGTCGATAAAGAAGGAAGCTGAGAGCATGGTATTTGAGCCCTAAGCAGAATATGTTTACAACTGGATGTTAAAAAAAAAACAAATAAATGAAAAGGGAGACTCAGAGCATGGTGTCTGGATGTTTAAAAAATAAAAAAATAAAAAAAAGGGAGACTGAGAGCATGGTGTCTGGAACCGTGAAAATAAAAAGGGATTTTCTTAAGGCATTCCTTCAGCAGAATCTTCTTATGGCTCGCATATCAGAATAATTTAAATCATATGGTTTTCTTCAAGCAGAATACTTACTCATATATAACATGAGGACTAGGTGCACATCACTTATGTTATCTATATGATGTGTATCTTATGCTTTACTGTTTTATGGAGAATTCTGCTGCATGTTTCTTGGACATGAGAATATATGATACATTATATGACATCTCTTATTGTTCACTAGCCATGTATTCCTGATACACATTATATGTGCAGAAACCACTCCTTTATTTTACCACTTGCTAGATAATTTTCTGAACCGTCCTGGTTTGCACGTTAGTTGTGGACGTGGACATTAGCACCTTTGCAGACTCAGTCTGAGGTAGGAGACACCCATTCTTAGTTGGACCACTAGGGTATGGAGTAGCTCGCGGAGTATCACGTTATCTATTTATCTTTCCTCTTTCCATGCGAAGTTGTTTGGCTAGTATTCCCTGCCATGTGGGATAAGTTGTATTTTACCTGTTCATGTTTGGACACGCATTGAGGCAGAGCGGCCATTTTATACGGGATATTTTCTCATTGTCGTTAGACATGTAGGACACTTAACTATATGGACATTCTACCCGTGGGACTTGCATCTGCTATTTAGTCATTGCTTCTGACATGCTCTGCTTGTACGTATGTATATTCTGTGATGCTCTGGAGATATGATGATGTATGTGCATATCACGTATAGACTTAAGTATATGCATTTTGGTGGAGTTTGGCCGATTGCATGTACTACTTAGCCTAGTCCCATGCTCAGAGTTGGTCGTGGGGCGGGGCGTGAAAACGGATTCATTCTTGACGGACCATTCTTGACAGTTCATCCATTATGGATGTCTCTGAAGGATGCTCATTCTTGACAGGTTCCGGACATTCTAAATGGATTTGTCTGTCTAGGATGCCCATCTTTTCACTAGCATTAGTTTCTTAAGTAATTGTAAAAGGGGTATTAATATATAGGTACTTGGAGGAGATTAGTAATTGAGGATTAATAGGTAAGTGATGAAGGTTAACTGATAGCATTCAGAGCTATTAGAAAGTGGAGATTATGGAGAAATGAGCATATTATGGGTGATAATTGAAAAGCATGTGGTGGACTTTACCTCTATGGTTTTGATTGGTTTGGTTAAAATAATTATAAATTCTATTAAGTCATATAAATATATGTTATATATTAATGTGAGATTAATATATAATTATAATTTTTTTTATTAACATCCTTATTGAGTTTATTACGATACAATATATTTAATATTATAATATAATATTAGATTAATAGGAGGATTATGTCATGAATTAATTTGGGTATAATGGTGATAGTGAATATATATTCAGATATAATTAAAGGCTAATAAAGGTTATTACAAAAGTGAGTTGGGGAATTAAAATGGGGGATAATGGATAATTTCAAATATAGTTGGGGGACGATAAGTGCATTGTTGATGAATTATTGGTTTCTAGCATATAAATATTTTAACATCCTAATTCGTGTTTATAGCACGAAATGTTTTAAATATCGGCTGATAAGCTGATATTATCGGTGATTTATCAGTTTTGGGGGCCTTCTGCTATGATAAGTCTGATTCTAAATCGATTATCGTTTTTGGATGTTTATCGCCGATAATGTAGCGATAAAGTGAGTTATCGGCATATATTGTCGGCCAAACAATCAGAATTATTGGCTTTTGGTTTGAGTATTGATTTCGGGTAATGGACACCTATTCAATGCACTTTAAACTCAACCCGTCCCGAGTTTCTACCGTTGGTTAGTGATGCTAAACATAATTATTTACATTTTGGTATGTTTATATTTTATTAAGTATGATTAGATTATATTTAAGAATATTATATTGTGTATATCACCATTTGGTAATGTCACTCTGATAAATCCTACTTTTTCCTGATATATCCTCGATATCTGCTATCTGATATGGATTTTGAGCGTCTGATAAATCCCCAATAATCGATATTTATAACCTGGATAGCACGTAGTAGGCAAGTAAAGAAGGAAACTTTGGAACGTCAAGAAAAAGTTCCACAGGATTGAAACGGCCCGCCATGCCTGTTATCTTGGTTGGTGGTGGAGATTATGATGAATGTGTATGTAATAATTGATTGAATGTTATTACAGCGTTTTCCTTGATCTAAAAGACGAGGAGCATGATTCGAAGTCATTGCAATAGATGATGGGTGTTCCAAAAGTTTCGTAGCCCCTTCAATTACCTATTCTCGTTTACGCCTACGCGCGGTTGAACAATATCAATTATTTATCGTGACAAGATATCTCATATGCATACATCAACTTGAATCGTACTCATCAAATATTTTCACCGTGTTAAAAAACTTGAACGTATTCAAAGGAAACCAAGTTACAAGTGTGAAGATGGTTAACAGAGCCCGAATCATTTTGAGAAACTCTTTTATCCCTGAAAGTAAAAAAGCAATTTCATTCGGGGTAAGCACAAGGATAGTAACAACTAAGTAGGGTTGGGTGTGGGCCGGGTCGACTCCGAGGTTGACCCAACTCAGCCCACCGTGGGTCACGGCCTGGCCTAGCAATGTGGGCCGAGCCGATCTGGTACATGAGATACTTGAGTTACGGGTCCGGCTGGGTCCTGCCCTAGACTTGAGGTAAGAGAAGTAGGTCCGACCAACGCCTGGCTCGGCCCACGCCCGGTCCGACTCGAATTGGACCGACTCATAATATGTTTTTTGATTAGGCTAGATGTTCCTTTAGCCCATTAGTTTTGCGGCTAGCTGCTAACAAAGTCAAAAGGCCATAGGTCGTTGTCTCGTGGGCCTTTTTGCACATTGAGAAACAAAACAGAGATCTTTAAACTCGTTGTTACCTACTTAGAAGGATTAAAAAGTTATACAAGTTTAATACAAGTTTAAAAATAGTTTAATACAAGTATAAGTTACTAAAAAATAAATTAGAAATAATTTATAATTATAAATACAAGTTTAATATAATTAAAAATATAAAAATAGGAAGAAAAAGTTTGTTGAAAAACCCATGGGCTGGCCCACAACAAACGGGCCATGGACGGGTCAAACACGGCCTGCACCTAGACGGGTCGTGGGTCGGGCTGGGTCCAGTCCTAGACCCGAGATCAAAGAAGTAGGCCCAACCCACTCTAACTCGACCGACCCCAGGTGAGCTCCAACTCGGCCTTGAACCCGAGGGCTAGGTCATGGGCCTAAATCGGTCTGATCCACGCCCATCCCTACAACTAAGGGTAAGAGAGCCAAAAACTGTTTACTTAGTATCTGCCAAAATGAAACTATAGGTATACTGGCTAAGTTAAAAAAACTCCATGTTGCAAAGAGTCTAAAAGCGTAGTAGCCCATAGGAAATTAATTGAAGGTATAATCACATGCATTCTACTTATTAGCTTTTTTGGGCCCGTCTGTTTGCCATAGTTATGAAGAAGCTGAAGTAACGAAAATATGAACTACTTTTGAGCAAAAATAACGTTTGTTTCTTCAAAAAGCTACTTTTAGTATATTCTTAGATGCTTATGTGATGCTTATGTGTAATTCCTATTTTTTGAATCTTTTTCCTGCCCTTGAGACTCAGGAAATACCTCAAAAGTGATTGAAATTGAGTCAATTTAGAAATACAATTAATTTTTTATTATAAGGATATTATCTATTTCTAAATAAAATCCCAAAAGATCTCTCTTCCTAATAGTATTTATAATTGCTATTCGAAAAAAAAATGAAACGGAAAAAATGATTTACTTTACTTCCAAAAATTTATAGAACTAACAAAAAAAAGTAGTTCCTCTGCTTCTTCCTATTTTGTAGTTTTAGAAATAATAGATCTGATATGCTCCCAATTTAATATACTTTGTATCAACCTAACCGGCCCTAAGTTGCTGAGTTCTGCAAAGTTTGTTGTAGGCTTCTCCTGTTCTTGTGATACTTAAAGATGTCCATCATTAACGTAAGTTATAGTTTAAGTAACCTAGTTCAAATGCTTTATGAGTGACCGTCTGTTACTTTGTTACGAAGACATCACGCCATGGAAAATATAGGCAAATGATAGTCACCTACATCTGGCGATTCATCAATCAATGCTCTAAGCAAAATTGCTTCACATGCAAACTAGGTAGCACAGGCACGGACACGGACACGAACACTGAAACACTGATACAGACACGGCAAATTTGTAAAAGATAGGACGTGATTGTATGTGTGATGATCTTTTGAAGATTTAGAGACAAGATGAAAACCGAAACTGAGATGGATGAAATAATGTAATCAACAAAACGTGTATATCATGATGTTGACTTATGTAATCAACATACATGTACAATTGTACATATGTTTATTATGAAAATGCAAGCAAATTTGATTCTCACTTCGAATATCTGTATCCACTTCAATAGGACTTGGCGTTTCCATTTAATTTCCTATAATCATCAAGTATTAACCACACAACCACTAATTAATCGTACGTAGAAAAGTATTAAAAATTTTGAAACTGAGCAGCAAAAAATGAAATCAAGCATACAGAAAACAGAGAACAAAAAGATGAAACTGAAATAAATTGAACAAAAAAATGAAGTTAAACCCTAGGAACCTGATATACTTGACTAAATGCATATTTGAATAAAAAACTAGCATACAGAAAACCGAAAACAAGGAAATATGAAATCAACAGTAAAAAAAATAAAGCAGACAGATTTCTTCAACAGAACAAATTTTCAAAATAAACCCATTTTATTTTTTTATTAAAAAATTCGACCCAATCACTTTTTATTTATCAAAACCGACCCATTCGTGGCCACGTCAGCAGCGTGACCACGAAATGTGTCAGTTTTTTTAATAACATCGCTAAATAGTCGGGGTTGCCAACCCCGACTATTTAGTTATGCATAAGCTAAATTAGTCGGGGTTGCCTACCCCGACTAATTTAGTGCCCTATCTATTTCGTCGGGGTTCCCAAACCCGACCAATTGGTAGAGAGCTCTAGCCCAGTCGCTCATTGGAACTGAAAACGGTCAGGGTTGGAAACCCCGACCATTTAGAATTTTCTTACGACAAAATGGTCGGGTTTGGGAACCCCAAACGTTTGGCAGACTCTACTCACACACTGTCAGCTGAAAATTTAAACTCCCGCTGTTACATATCAATCCACAATCAATCCACAATGCAATCACAATCACAATAATACACATACCAATCAATAATCTCAACTGAA